CCTCCGTGCTGGCTTGGGCGCGGCTCCCCGTCAGGCCCTGCCGTGCCGCCGTGCCCGCGCTCCGCAGGGTCAACAGGGCAGGGTCAACGGTCAGCACCGTCCTCATGAGAAGAAGCACACCTCGCTCTGCGGGCTGCACCCTGCGGGGCCACCTGGACTTCCAGCCTGCATTTGCAATTTAAAACGCAGTGTTGGGCGAGTGCGAATTTTATCTATTAGGTGGTATATTTTAATTTGAACAATACCTTTAAAATGTAGTTTTAATGGTTAATTGCTTTAAAACTAAGGAGCTGATTAAGAAAACACAATGTTATATTAGCGGTGTAATTTACCAGTTGCCTAAACTGCAACTTTTGCAGTTTTCGGCTTTGTTACAATTCACCGACTAATTATTGGACACTCAGCTGCGTCAAGTGTTAATGAGACTAGCCTGGAAAGAAAACTCACCGTGTTTCTCCTTCACTCCCACGCCCCACGTCACGCCGCACAGCACACGTGTGCGCGGGTCTGAGGGACCCTAGAGTCGGCGCTCTAGGCCCCTTCCCCGCAGGGCAAGGGGCCCGCGCCAGGAGGCTGCCCCCACCTCAGACGCCGACCGCAAGTCTCAGGCTGTCGTCACCGGTCCTCCCGACAGACCGGCTGTGACCCGGGTCCCCAGGACGGGCTCCTGGGGTCTGACACCCCGCTCGCCGGCTCTGGGAGCGCAGGGAAGCACTTGTCCACTGGGGCAGTACGGAGGACACAACCGAGGACACAAGTGGACACGTGAAGAGGAACAGGGGTCCCCAGGCACAGCCCCCGGGGTGCCCACCCTCCCGGCACAGGACGTGTTCCCCGGCCCGGCAGCCTTCGGGTCCTACGGAGGCTTCAGCACGCAGGTGGCGGCGAGGATCAGCTCCTTCTCCAGCCCTTGTCCCCTCCGCCGAGTGGGGGGTGGGCGGGACACGCCTGGCTTGTGGTCACAGCTGCAAGATCGTGGTCTCTCTGGGAGGGCGAGCAGCCCCCACCCGGGAGCCTACCAGGCCACTCAGAACAACAGGCACCGCCGTCACCCAGGACCCACCAAGGGACGCTGGAGCCCTGAGGCGGGGACGGGGGACGCGCACAGTATATGAGCACTGCTGACGCTGCAGGTGCCCCCTGTTGCGCGTGGGTCACTGGCCAGCAGTGACCACGGAACGCTGTGGATGGCTCAACGATAAACACGCGAGAAAAAACAACACATGCACAGAGACAAACTTGTTTCTGTGGGGAAGTAGGGATGAAATGGCCACCCCCCCTAGTGGGGAGCGCGCTGATTTACCGTCCATACCTGCTTTTATTGGGCTCATTTTGCATAATAATTCAGGTAAAGTATAGTACTCATTAGGGGGAAGTAAGGAACCATAGAAAACAAAGAACTCTGCCGGTCTATTGAGTTGGGGGGTCAAAGAGCTGTAAGACTGAGGAACAAACTAACTTCCTCCTAAGACCCTTCTCATTCAACTGAGAGCATTCTAAACAAAGAACGTTTCACAGTAATTTACATGTTCTTTCTTAGGCCTGATCACCCTGGGGAATCCGCACTTCTCAGTACCGAGCTGCACCACCCTGTCATTGTTTCAGGCTTAGGTGGAGCAAGGGAACTAAGGCAACCAAGAGATAAGGAGATTTTCTTCCAGACGCTGAGAACTCAGGCTATGTCAAAGCCGAGGAGCGAGGGTCCATCACCCCCCCTTTTGCTGCAGCCCCCCAAGTCCTTCTTTTGGGGGGCCTCCCAAAAAGTGATCGTGCCTGTCTTAGGTTGTTCCCCCGTGGGGAATCTTACCCGTCTTTGGCTAACCGACCAAGCTTTTTGGGGTTCAGTCATGAATAAAGCAGCAGAAGCAGCATTCCTGCCAGGGAGATAAGCTTTTGTCTCCTTGCTGGCTCATGGTTCCAAGGGCGTTCCCTTAGCCTTAGCTAGGTGGGGGTTTCAGCCTCTGATACCAGTCAGGGCAGTTCCCAACAGCCCCCACGCTCCGGCCACTGAGGCCAGACAGGGCGCTCGGGGGCAGGCCGGCCCGCATCTCTGCACAGGCCCAAGGGGGGTGTCCACGCCGTTGAGTGCAAGCCGTGCCGTGTGTCCTTCGGGGCCCTGGGGGACTTTGGAGGACCTTGGAGCCTTTTGTGTGGGAGACCAGCAGCCGGCCCCTAGGCATGCTGAACTCCGGTAAGAAATGTGGAGGGGGCGCCCTTAAAGACACGGACCCCGTGGAGGGCAACACAGAGAAACTGTTAAAGGAAGGAGGCGGCAGCTGGTCCGCTTTGAAACAGGAAGTGCCCACGACACCACATGTAGTTTGGGTTCACATTTACTCCTTCGGGGAGTCTGTCACAGACAGGGAGATTAAAGCCTCTCCCCTCGGGTGCCCCACGTGCCCAGAACTTTACAGCAAGGGGGAGCGAAGGGCCATCAGCCCCATTAGCCCCACCCACTCCCCTGGTGCGGACAGGACGTGTGGAGGGGGCGGAGCACCGGCTCCTGGGAGAAGCTGCCTTGGACCCGGAGCTACAGTGGGGCTCATCCGCCTCTTCCCAGAACTGAGTTTGGAGGGGCCGCCATTCCCCGGAGGGCAGCCCTGCCAGCTGGGGAGCAGCCGAGGGGAGAGGCCACAGATCGGCCACCGCCCCCTGCCCCCCTCAGATCCATCAACACCCGGCTTCCCACCCCACCGTGTGGGGTGAGGACTGCCCAGTGCGGGGCGAGCCTGGAGGCTGCTGCTCTCTGCACCCCACACTGTCACCCACACAGCGAGGGGCGCCAGTCTCCCAGAGGGCGGTGAGAACACAATGGGAGGGCGGGCTCGGCCCCTGGGTCACTTCCCCGCAGGGCCAGCACCTGTGACCGCAGGGTGCCGCCTCCCTGTTCCCAGAGGAAGCCCGCCCCGCCCCTTTCCAGACTCCCAGGCAGGACTGCAGTCCACGGGGCAGCTGTTTGGAAGACTCAACATTTTTTTTAAAGATTTTATTTATTTATTTTTTAGAGAGAGAAGGGAGGGAGATAGAGAGAGAGAGAGAAACATCAGTGTGCAGTTGCTGGGGGTCATGGCCGGCAACCCAGGCATGTGCCCTGACTGGGAATTGAACCTGCGACACTTTGGTTCGCAGCCCAAGCTCAATCCACTGAACTACGCCAGCCAGGGCTAAGACTCAACATTTCACCCGTCATCTTCTTCCCCATTCTTCATTATTTTCCTAGAAAGTGATTATCACTGTAGTGTTTTACACATTAGTTTTGGTAAGTACAGAGAAGTACAGAAACAAAACAAAGGATGGACCCTAAGCGTCCCGCTCTGATGCCTTCTGTGGGCCCGCCCCGCACCCAGCCCTCCCGTTTGCCGCAACCACCCAGGTGGCCCCTTGACCGGGGCAGCGGACCCTCCTTGACCTTCCCACTGCCGCCCTGACTCGTGTCTTCAGCAAACCCCGGGCCCGCACTCCGAGTGGTGCCCGACCCGCAGGGTGGCGTCACCCCGGCCTGTTAGGAAACGCAGGGCAGCCGGGGAGGACCGCAGGACCACAGCCCACATTCCTGTAAGTCCCCGGGGGCTCAGGTGCACCTGAACCGTGAAGAGCTCTGCTCCGGGGGCTCCAGAAACAGCCCCAAGACTGAGTCTTCTTTAGCCAGCAGCACGTCATCACAAGTGCAAACTACTCTTTCCTGTCAAACATCCGAGGAAGCTGACAGTCCAGAAGGGCCCAGGACATCCCGGGGCCTCAGGTCCCGGAGCACGAAGACCCCTGGTGGAGCATGGTGACACCCCTCAAAGCCACAGGAAGACCCCCCACAGCTGCACTCCTCCCTCCCTCCTCACCTCCCAGGTGCCTCCAACACCCACAGGCCCTCTCCGACTGGGCCGGGGGCCAGTTCCGGGCCTGTGTCCCCCGGGCCTGCGCACGGGTGCTTCCAGGCCCAGACCAAGGGTCAGCAGGTCTGAAACACACCCTCCAACTTCCCGACGCCCAGCTGACTCCCTCCTCAGCGCCCCCCCACCACCACAGTCCCGGCCCACGTATACCTGTGGTCCCGGAGTACCCCCAGGGCCACCTTGCACTTGCAAAACTGCCCGGGTGTGTCTGACAAGCGAGTCTGCTGCCCTGAAGAGGAGTGCAGGCGGCGAGCCCTGGGCCCACAGCCGGCTCCTGGCCGGTCCCCATCCAGCCCCTCGGCACGTGCCACAAGCAATGCCTTCAGAGAGCCGCACGCACACTGACCAGGGCCTGCAGTGACCACTGTGTCCCAGGACACCTCCCGGCTCTCACCCTTGCTCCACCCCCCGTTGTTCAACCTAGCTGCCACTGAGCCTCTTCCTACATGGTCAGACACCTGTCACTCAGACGACCGCCCCTTCCAATTCGCCGCCCCCCACCGGTCCCTACCACTTGGGTGCCCTGCTCGTCCCACCTGCCTGGAACACTTCCCTGGACATCCCTGTGTGTGCCCCATGTCTCTGCTGAAGCGTCACTGTCCGAGGCGCCACCTGTGTGGACAGCAACACCCCCTGCTGTTTCTCCTACCGGACTCACTGATGATGAGACACATAACCTCACTTCCTGCCTCACCGTGGCCGGCTCGGCTCCAAGCCTGTGAACGTCAGACCCACACGTACAAGCCCAGGGTCCGAGCACTGCCCAGCCGGGCGCCAGGGCACTCAGGACTATGCTGGACCCATGATCAGCACGGGGCGGGGGGGGGCTGCTGCCACTGCGCGATTGCCTCTCCCGTGGTCAGTGCTGTGGAATGGCACAGGGTCGCAGGGGTGAGTGACCACATGGACTTCAGCCCCCTGCCGGCGGGGCCAGGCCGGATTCTCCCAGAAGGGCTCTCTTTGCTCTGCCCCCTCCCCTCCCACTACAGTCCCTGCGGCTCACGCCCCACCTCCCGGCCCCACGGGCTTTGGAGCCCTTTTCTGAGTACGCACCTGACCTCCACTTCAAGTTACTACAAGTTACAGTAACAATGATGATCAACACGGAACTCCATTTTGAAAGAAATTTATTTATCTCACCTTTTTCCTGGCCAAGTCAACGGCTTTGGTCATTGGTACAAAGATTCTAGAACTGGGCTTTCAGCCTCTGTTCTCCCGGGAAATCAACTTCATCACAAGCCTGAGCTCTGCCGGCCGGGCTGGGAACCCCCTCCGCCCGAAGGGGCCTCTGGCTGTCAGTCCAGGGGTCCCCCTGCAGCCGCCAGCACCGTGCTTCCCTCCCCCCCCCCACCCGGCCCCGCAAGGTCAGGGGCATTCTGGCATAGAAGCCCCTGAAATGCGTGGCTGTATTCTATCAAAAAGTCGGCAAACACACATAGTAACTAGAACTCGCCCCCTAACCTAGGTTACTCACCAGACAGGTTACATGATGTGCACCAATTAACGTGCCACAGAAATACTACAGTTCTGAAAAAAAAGAAAAAAAAACACAGCCTTCTTCCTTCGACCTGACGGACTGCACAGTCCCAAAATTCATTCGCCACCGTCCTCCACGCCCAGCCGTCCTCTGGGCCGCCTCAGTCGGGTCCAAAGGGGTCTCCACGCCCTCCTCTCGGGTCTGGGGTCTGGCTTCAGCGGCTGCAGCCAAGGCGTGTCTTCTCTCTTGCAGAACTCCGACCTCGAGTCCTTCTCACCGGTCCCCACATTCCAGGAAGCATAAAAAAACAGCAAAGCACAAGGGTATACTTGCAAACTTTAAAAATACAAGCTACAGTAACAATTATGACCACATAGCAGCTTCCAACCTAGGTCCTATTTCTTTTTCATTTTCTTTTTAATGTAAGAGCATTTAATAAAAAGTGAAATGTATCTAAACTGTCTTTTCCGAGCTGAATGCACCTAACACTCATATTGTACATATGACGCTATAATACTGAATTCATCTACCAGAATGGTACAGGAGATGGCGCGTTTACCATGATGAAAACGCAGACAGAAAAACGGGGGGAGAAAAAGACCGCCTCGCGGTTTTGGCCTCTCCAGGCGGTCCGTCCTCCTCACCGGCCGACCGGAGCCCAGCGGCGGGGAACCTAGAGTGCAAGCGGGGGAGCCGCTTCAGCACAGCGCACACACCTGACCAGCGGGCGCAGTGCTGCCCCTCGCCACAGAGCCATCCTGAGACGCTGCGAGTTCACCGAAGCACTTACAAGTTTCCAGCCTGACTGCAGTTGCACAACCCTCCCACGCGTCTCTCCTCCTTTTGCCCTGTGACCCAGGTTTGCGCCTTAGTGACTGGGCTGGTCCCCATTCTGCAAATATTTCCTCTGCGTGTTTCCCAACTGCACACACCAAACTACTTACTTCTCATCACCAACGTTAGGACAGTAAAATGAGATCTAAGCGAAGTTGCACCATCTTAGCCTCCCCGGCCCCACGCCGCCTCCCACCGCCCAGCGTCGATGCATTTCGGGGCAGGACATTCGTCACAAAACCCGCTGCAGCAAGCGCGCCGCCGCCCGCCGAGACGCACCTGCTCCCGCGCGCGTCCTTCAGTAACACCCGTAGCTGTCAATCTGCTGGTGCAGTTCCACGATCCGCTTCCCCATCAGCGCGGCCTCCACCGCCTTTTTCTCCACCTTCTCGCACAGCTTCATCACCCGCTTCTCCGCCTCGGCTCCGGGGCTGCGGGCGGGATCCAGGGCGCTCTCCTCCGAGGCCTCCACCTCGCTCTTGATTTCGTCCAGCAGGCTCTCGATCTCCAACAGCTTCCGGCGGGCCCTCAGGTGCGCGCGCACGTGCTCGCGCTCGAGGGCGGTGACGTCCCGGCGGACGGCGTGCAGCGCGGGGCTCAGGACCCTCTCCCAGTCCTGCTCGGGCTCCCGCTCCTCGTCGGCGTCCACGGGCCGCATCGCGCCGCCCGCCGCCGCCCCTCGCCGCCGCGGCCGGGTCACAGCGCCCGAGAGGCCAGCCGGCCGAGAGCGAGCGCCGAGCTAGGGGCTGAGCTCGGCGGAACCGCCACGGTGACGAGCAACAGGTTCTTTGAACTTTCGCAGCCGAGGCGGCGTCCAAAATGGACTCCCAGCCGTCTGCCAGGGCGCTGCTGGCGTGCGGCCCCTTTACGACACGCCGGAGCTCTTTACGGCCACGCCGCTGGTGTGACCTGGCGGGCGCGCTCGCACGTGCTGGCTCCTGTCGCCCTGCAGCGCTCTGGCGCCCCGAGGTCTCACGGCCGGGTTACGAGCCTAACCCGTCTCCTTCCCTGCACCGGTGTAGTAAAATAGCTGCTCTAGCCCCTGCTGTGTAATGCTCTAAGTGCTAACGTTCTAAGTCTTAAACTAGCAAATTAAGTTGGTACTGTTAGAATCTTCATGCACCGAGCAAGTAGGTGGGTTACCCAGGGTCTGGATTTCAATCGAGGCAGGGTCGTGGGGGAATTGCTTTTCCCTGAAGCTAGTTGAGAACTGCGATCCCCCAGTGCTGGTGCTAACGGCCTTCTCCTCCTTACAGCCCTGCCCAGCCTCCGCCGCTACTTTTGACTGTAGGGTAGGTTTTACTCCGCCTTGGATTCTGGTTATGTGTGCATCGCGCCTTACCAGACTAGTGCAGGTCTGAGTCTGCACGGTCCCTCCCCTCCGTCTGGCACTGAGTGTGCCCTCGGAGAATAATACTGAAGGAATTCATTCTTCTTTGTGCTGCATAAGCACCTCTATGAAACCACAGGTCCTAGGGGCAAGTATTAAGTCATGTATTTCCCTACAGCCCTCACTGAGCTGGGCACACAGCGCTCGATACATGTTGCGTTACCATTGTTTACCAGCAGACATCTGTGTGATGAGCAGTTACTGCTGTGTGTTGCAAGATGGACAGTGTGAGTTTCTGGCGTTAGTCTTTGTGCATCTTTCAGATACAGGAGGGAGACCCTCGTTGCTGGTTGGCCAGGGTCACTCTCAGCTTCTAAGGCCACTCTGTGGTCCTTGCACATGGCCCCCTCCCTATTCAAAGCAAGCAACGGCGAGTCGAATCATTCTCATCCCCTGAATCTCTCTGACATCCCTTGTGCTCCTAGCCAAAGAAAACTCTGCTTTCGTGGGGGGCACATGAATGGATCAGGGGTACCTGAATGATCTCCCTTCTGTGATATAATGTACCGTAATCACAGGAATAATGCCAGGGAGCAGAGGTCACAGGGGGCCATCAGAGGCTCCCGGGAATGCTCAGGGCATGGCTCTGACAGCGGCCAGATAGGCAGAAGTGGTGGTCGTTAAGTCTAGAGGGCTAAGCACACCTCAGAAAGACCTGTGGTGCCTCCTTGGTGCATGATTGCATGGAATAAAATACATGGGAAACCCACGAAATTTTTGAGGCAGCCATATGAGCAAAAATGCTGTCTGCCTGTATGAAAAGAGACTAAGACTGTTCAAAGTGCAAAAGAAAACCCTCCCAGACTCCCAATTTTCTACCAGCAGAAAGTAGGCTCTGTAGCCAAAAGCTGGCATATTCTTCAAAGCGCTCTGCAAATGTGGTCAAGGAGTGAGATGGATAAGGAAGAATGGGTCCTGGCTGGCATGGCTCAGTGGATTGAGTGCCAGCCTGTGAACCAAAGGGTTGCAGGTTCGATTTGTGGGTCAGGCCCCCAGTAGGGGGTGCGCAGGAGGCAACCACATGTTGATGCTTCTCTCCCTCTCTTTCTCCCTCCCTTTCCCTCTCTCTAAAAATAAAATCTCTTTTTAAGAAAAAGGAAGGACACATTGGAGAGCACAGACACCTGGGAAGAACAGTGGACAGAGACAGCCCCTGAACTGAGAATGGTTTCCACATTTTTAAGTGGCTGTAAAAAAGAACAGGAGTATGTGACAGACTGTATTGGACCCATGAAGCCTAAATATATATATATATATGTATATATATATATATATATATATATACACATATATATATATATGCTATCTGGCTCCTTACAGAAAAAGTGTCAGTCCCTGCCCTAGTGAACCTCTTCTAGGTTCCAGAACCAGAGCCTAATCAAGGAAATTTTCTTCTCTTTAAAGTAAATAAACTTGGCAATATTTGCCCAATGGAATGTCAAAATTGTTACAATTCAGTAACCCGTGTTACTCATTCTTCCATTATACACGAGGATTATCTCGTCCCAGCCTCACCCTGTACATTGGGTCTGTGTGGATATGTTAGATTGCACATTGTGTGCCCCTGAAATGGTGTTGAAACCCTAACCCCCAATTAGATGGTATTCGGAGACGGTGCCTTCGGGAGGCAATCGGGTGATGAGGGTGGAGCCCCGTGGTGGGACGAGTGCCCTAGAGAGAAGACACACCGGAGAGCTAGCTGGCTCACGCTCCCCGCCACGTGAGGAGACGGGGGGAAGGCAGGCGTCCGCAAGCCAGGAAGAGAGCACTCACCAGATGCCAACTCTGGGGGCCTCTTGACCTCGGACTCCCCAGCTCCCAGAACTACGAGAAATAAATGTTTGCTGTTTTAAGCCACCCAGTCTGTGGTTTTGTTACAGTGGCTCGAACTGACTAAGATAGTGGGCAGTAACTTGTCTTTTTAAAAGTTCATGGGCCACCCTGGCTGGCGTGGCTCAGTGGACTGAGCATCAGCCTACAAACCAAAGGGTCACCAGTTTGATTCCCAGTCAGGGCACATGCCTGGGTTGCAGGCCAGGTCCCCAGTGGGGGGTGTGAGAGAGAGGCAACCACACATTGATCTCTCTCTCTCCCTTCACTTCTCTAAAAAATAAACAAATAAAATATTTTTTTTAATTCCTAGGCCTCTGGGCCATGAAAAAACCTATTTAAACCTGATGGGGAGCATAAGATCCTGGATTTCCAGCTCAATGACACAGATGGAATAAACTGTGGGGCCTACTTTGATGAGGAAGTGGAGAGGATATTTTACACGCATGATTGGGGGCTGTGGGCTCAGATGGTGGTAGATTGCGTGGCAGAATCTCAATTCCCCACCCCTTCCCGCGCCCCTGTCCTGCGCCTTGTGTCCTGGCCAGTGAGACATTAGCAGACATGAGACAAGCACACGCTGGAAGCTTGCTAACGAAGGTGGGACCTCTTTATTCTCGTCCCTGCCTCTGCTGTGAGAAGAGGAAGCTGGACTGTCTCCCAGCTCTGAGGACAAAGGTCAGAGAGACGGTGGGCCAAGACGGGCCCTGGACAGGCCCAGCCTCCATCGCCGGCCCGCAGACCCACTCCTGAGCCAGTCTAGACCATCCAGATCTCAGCCAACCTGCAGACACTTGAGAAATGTTTATTGTTGTTACTGGACTTGGGGTAGCTTGTGCGGCAAAAGCTAACCGAGGCACACACTGGGAAGCCCTTCTAGGTAAGATGATGATTCCCAAATAAAACGCCAGCCTCTCCTCTACTCCACGTCTGTGTTTGGTTGGGTCTCAGGGGGAGGAATCTCCACAAGAACGCCCCAAGGATTTGAGTTTTCTCTTTAGAACCTTCAGCCTGGAGTATCTTCTCCTGGAAATGGTATTCACCCCTTTGGCACCCCCAAAGCTGCTTCTCTATCCCGTTTTCACCCCTTTTTCAACCTGAACCTGTGTCCTACTTGTCTGGATGTTGCGGCACCAGACTCACAAGTTTTAGAAAACAAATCCACCACCGCCGCCGCCACCTTTAGTATCGTCGCCCACGCAGAAGCACTGTCGCCAGAACCCTGTGCATTTTTCATGAGCAAGATCGCATCGCCGCCGCAGGCTGTGGGCCGCAGCAGACTCTGGGGAAGCAGCAGACGGACAGAGGCACCCGGAGAGAGAGGGGGAGAGTCTGCATTCCAGCTTACCCTGATGCCGTTCGGTTCCCGCTCATCATCTGCGATTTGCAGTCTGTGAAATGAAACCCCACCTGGGAGAAGCTGTCCATCAAGTAATTAATTATGAAGCAGAGTCGGTTCTATGTAACCAACAGTGTGAAGACTTAAAAGGGGCCATTTATTTCTCTCAGCGTTAAATGCTGGTTGTTTTAAGCCAGTAAGTTTTCAAGTGATTTTTTTTTTTTACATAGCGATACACAACTGAAAAAGATACTGGGATCTGAAAATGGGGTGCTGCGGGAACAGCCCCACATGTGGGCGTGACTTGGGGACTGAGCAACGGGCGGAAGCTGGAAATACAGGGGAGAGCGAGAAAGGGCCCGGTGGTTTGAGAAGTCTCTCTGGGAAGGCTAAGGAACGGGAGGAGTCTGGCGGAAGGGCGTCTTTGTTACGCAGCAGCAGCAGAGCATTGGGTGACACTGCCACTGGCAGGAGACGGGAAAGGAGAGCGCGCAGTTGTTGACCTGGGCGAGTGAGCCAAGGCCGTGCTGCAGGTGTTGCCTGGCTGCTTCTGGTCGCTTGCAGTGAAATGCAAGCGTGGGGAAAGAAGCTAAAGAAACAACTGTAAGGTACAAACAAAAAAATTAAATAAATAAGCAAGCCAGGACTTGCTGGGCGTGCTGACAAAGTGGCTACTCGTCGCCAGCAGTGCCCGATGGCCGACGATGCGAACGTTGAGAAGGTTTCCAGGCAGAGATCACACCCAGGGTGCTGTCAGGAAAAGTCTTTAAAGATGCCTGCTGCCGTCTCGGTGGGGCCCTTCACACACACAAGAGGCCTTACAGGGATTTTAGAGGCACACCTTGCAGACGTTTCCTCTTGAGCAGGGTTTCTGAAGTCTTGAGGGCACCATCCCTGCAAATACCACGGGAGCCCGAAGGAGAGAAGGGCTTATTTCAGCGACCGTTGTAGGTGTGGTTTTTGCGTGTAAACCTATTAATCCGTTATGAATAAATTAATAAGAAATTCACAAAAGTTTTAAAGAGACGTCATCATTTTGAGCTAAAGGAGACAGACGCTACAAAATGAGAAGGGAATTTTGGAAACCGAAACATCGGTAGGCAGGAAGCAGGCTGAAGGAACCCCTGGGCTGCAGTCCCTGGCTACCTTTGATGAGGGGAGAGAAGACCTCGGACAGGTTGGGACTGCGCGCCCGGGGGCGGGGCCAGCGTCCCCCAGAGCCTCCCAAGCGGTAAGAGTGAGCCGCAGCCGGAACCGAGGGGCTGGAC